GGCTTTTAGATTAAGTTTAACTACATTATTGAACTTTAGTCAAATATTTCCTGATTTTATGTTTTGCTTTTGTTTTTGTTTTCTACAGGTTTCTACTCTAGTGTATGCCAAGTACACGGAGATGAGGCAAATCATTGACCCCCTACAATCTTGAACTAAGCAAGACTTAGAGAAAGATGGAACATCGAGGGGTCCATAATAATCCAATCATATAGGAACATGATGATGAAGTTGACTTTCAACTTCCTGGAGTTGGTAATGAGAATGCTCAGGTTCGTGGTGGTAATCTACTCGGAGATGCATTGAGGGTACAAAATCCGCCAGAACCAAGGTTGCATGATAACTACAGGGTCGACTTCAATACAATTGAATTAAAAGGACCTATTATTCTCCCTCTCCTACCTCCACGACATACTTTTGTGGTGACCAACAGTCTGATGCAAATGCTTATAGCAAAATGGTTGTTTTTTCTGGTTTTGCGTCAGAAGATCCACATGGTCACATGGCTAAATTGAGAAGTGTCTGCAAGAGTTGTGTGGGACGACCGAAATTGGATATGAATGTCATAGGCTTGAGAGTCTTGCCTCTATCATTGACTTGTGATGCTGTGGTGTGGTTTTCTGAGTTTTCATATAATTCGATTCATACGTGGGTCCAATTGCATAAGGTGTTCATCGCTAAGTATTCCCCATTGTCTAAGAAGCTGAATCACAAGGACAAACTGAACAATTTTGTAGCACTATCTGGAGAGTCTATAAGCAGTTCATGGGATAGATTCACTGCATTCATAAGAAGTGTTTCAAATCACCGCATAGATGATGAGTCACTGAAAGAGTACTTCTACAGAGGTCAGGATAACAATGGAAAGGCTGTGCTAGATACTATTGCTGGAGGATCATATGGTGAGTGCGTTTTTGAGGAGATCGCTGAGAAACTAGAGAAGATTTCCTGAAATAATAAAGCATGGAGCACTAGAAAGTCAGACACGGGTAGAAGCACATTTGCAGTTCAAGCTGCACCTAGTCAATCCAATGATGATATTCGTGAAGAGATGGCTCAAATGAGGACATAGATGGGCTTGGTATTAAAGCATGTGACCAAAGGTGCTGAGAAGGTAAATGCGGTAAACTACCTATCTAGAAATCCACCACCACCAGTTAAGGAATGTTACTATGAGAAGGATGAATATTTGGTTCATGATCAGACGGGGGGTTTCTGAGCCAACACCCAAGGTTCCAACTCGGATAATTGGCGCCAAGGTCAAGGAAACTAAGGTCGGAACTATGGAAGCTATAACCGTGAGGGGAACTACAATCGTAAGGGTAAATATGTCCGAGATAGGAACTACAATCGTGATAACAACTACAACCGGAACAACTATGGCAACATGAATAACAAGGCTGGTCCCTATGTCCTTCATGGTAATAAAGAGTCTGGCAACAATATGTCACGAATTCAGGATATGATGCAAAAGATAATGAAGAGGTTTGATGCAACTGATGAGAATGTGAAAGAGATGCGAAATAACTTGTCTGGAATAGGTCAAAAAATTGATGCCCATGCAGTGTCGATCAAGCAACTTGAGCAACAATTTAATCAGTTGTCCACCAATGCAAATCCACGCCAGCCTGGCACACTTCCTAGAAAGACTATCCAGAATTCGAAAAATGATGGGGATTGTATGGCAGTCACTACTCGAGAAGGAACGCAAACCATTGATCCACCCATGCCGTCTGAGGTTGAAAAAGTGGTAGAGAAGGATGAAGATGAGATTGAGTTTACTGAAGGCCCAAAAGATAATGATGAAAAAGAAGCTGAGGTGACTCAAAATGTTGTTCCTATGCCTCGACCGCCACCTCCGTTCCCACAGAGATTGGTGAAAAAGATCGAAGAGGGTAAATACTTCAGGTTCATAACTATGTTGAAGCAACTTTCCATCAATGTTCCGTTGATAGAAGCCTTGGAGAAAATGCATGGGTATGCAAAATTTATGAAAGATTTGGTGAACAAAAAGAGGGCTGTGAGTTTTGAGAATGATGAGAGAATGCAACATTGCAGTGCCATTGCTATTAGATCACTTGTGCAAAAGAAATAGGATCCTAGAGCTTTAACTATCCCTTGCACCATTGGGGTTATACACTTTGCGAAGCTTTTGCTTATGGCTGACCGAACTGTGAAGAGACCTATTGGAGTGCTCCAAGATGTTCTTGTGAAAGTGGAGTCATTCATCTTTCCAGCAGAATTTGTAATACTTGACTGTGAGGTTGATTTTGAGGTCCCCATCATTTTAGGGAGACCATTCCTTGCTATTGGGCGTGCCTTAGTCGATATGAAGAGAGGGTTGACGAAGTTACGATTGAATAATAAGGATATTACTTTTAACATTTGTAGGTCTATGAAACAGGAAAATGATCTGAAAGCGGTTTCTGTGGTAAATCATATTATGCAGCAGGATTCTGAAGTGTCTATTGAAGAGAGGTTGGGTGTTGATGCACTAGCAGCGGTAATGATGAATTTGATAGTGATGGGATTGAAGACTATGATGAGTTAGTTGCCGTACTTGATAGGTTCAAATTCCGTTCCAAACCAAAAAAATTGGAGTTACATATGAATAATCGTGATTCACCGCCTGTAAAACCATCTGTAGATGAACCTCCAAAACTGGATCTCAAGGCTCTACCACCCCACTTGAGGTATGTTTTCTTGGGAAAAGATAACACCTTGCCGGTAAGTTAGAGGGGCTCCACGAGCTGTGGTCAAAACCACTGATCGTGGTCCCTCTCATGAAGTTGAGGCAGTAGCTAGGGCAATTTGTGGCCAATACACCATGACCAAGGCAAGTCCATGAGTCACCTTCACGAGCCATGGTGTAGACCACGATCTGTGGTCTCACTCCTGAAGCTGGGGCAGTGTGCTCCAAGCTAGGGGAAACCCTGGCCTTGCTCCAAGCTAGGGGCAGCCTTGGCCTTTGGCTTTGGCTTGGCCCCTTTTCCTTGGCACTTGCCCTTTGGCCTTGACTCTTATAACCCTCATTTCAACTCTAAATGGTCTTCTAATCACCCTCATTATTGACGTTCACCCTCACGTTTAGGCTCTAGTTTAACCTACTATTTTCCGGTGTGTTACATATCTGCAATAGGATACGATGCAGGTATGATTTCTTTCTCCACCACTTCTTGCATAGGCGGATTTAGTCTTCTTTGATGCTCAACACTTTGTTTGCACTTACTATCCAATTAGATTTTATGAGTGCAAATCCCAGGAAAAATCCCTACAATATCAGCAATTGTCCATCTGATGGCTTTATTGTATCGTTTTAACACCTCGACCAACAATTTCACTTGCCACTCAAGCAAGTCCGCAACAATGATGACGGTTAAAGTGTCTTTCGCTTCGAAGAATACATACCGAAGATGGGATGGGAGTGCTTTCAACTTAAGCTTTGGAGGTTCTTTGGTGGATGGTTTAGCCGGTAGACTCTCTCAATTTTTTAGAATAATATCAAGCTTCATTGGATTTTTAGAATGAACACCTAATCCCGATAGAGCATCTATAATTTCATCATATTCTTGCACTTCATCCTCATCATAATTTGAAAGAATAATAGCGAGGGGTTCACTCGTGCACATCATTTCACTCACTAGCCATTGCTTCATCAATCACATCAATCGTTGAGATCATATGGATGTCACTAGGTTGCTTCATCGATTTGCACACATTGAATGTAGCCTCCTCATCATTTACCCGGAACTTTAACTCCCCACTTTCAACATCTACTAGAGCTCTTTCAGTTGCTAAAAATGGTTTACCCAAAATAATAGGCACCTCCGCATCAATCTCACAATCCAAAAATAACAAAATCAGCGGAAAAATAAATTTATCCACCTTCACCAAGATATCATAAAGTATTCCAATGGGGTATTTACTAGACCGATCAGCCATGAGAAGCCGCATTGTTGTGGATTTAGGTTCGCCCAGCCCAAGTTGTTTGAAGATAGCATACGACATCAAGTTAATACTCACTCCCAAGTCACACAAAGCTTTGGCAGACTGAAGCATTCCAATGGTACACAGGATGGTGAATGCCCCCGGAACCTCTTTCTTTTTTATCACATCGCTGGACATAATAGTACTACAATTATGAGAAACTTCAATTGTTTCAAAGTCCATACTTTTCTTCTTGGTGACTAGTTCCTTCATGAATTTTGCGTATCCCGACATCTCCAATAATGCTTCCACTAAAGGAAGGTTTATGGAAAGTGTCTTGAACATGGATAGAAATTTCTTGAACTTTTCATCTTCATTCCGCTTTTTGAGCCTTTGAGGAAAATGGGGATTGATTTTGGGCAACAGTTTTACCAACTTTGGAGAAGATGTAGCCCCTTGTTTGTCTATTTACAGCTCTTCGGTGGTGCTTTGCCTTGGGTTTTCTTCCTCCTCTTTGGGTATGCTATTCTTCGGTGCTTGGTCGGACCTCTCTACATTAACGATGTCTTCCTCTTCTCCACTAGTGTTTGGCCCATCATTCATCTTCACATCACCACCTGCTACTTTCCCACTTCGTGTCAAAACCGCTAAGCATTTGTCATGATCAGCCTTTGAATTTTCCATATCATAATTTGCACACCTTCCAAATAGCTTGGGTTCTAGTTGGGCTGAATGTTGGCTCATTTGACATTCAAGTTGCTTGATAGAAACTGCATGTGAGTTTACTTTATTATTCAAGGATGAGAAATCAGCCTTCATTTCTTTAAGCATGTCATCAGACCCTTCAACCTTATCTAGAATGCGCGATAACAATTCATCCACTCGTAGCTCTTTGAACTTCCCCTAGACTTTGGGCTGTCACTTGTTTGCACGTGATACACATCATGATTGTCTTCTCTCCTCCAAAAGTCATGTTGGTCAGCCCAATCTCGATTGTAACTTCTCCGCTCTTCTTTAATAAATGTGTTCCAACCTTGATTCCCACCCGACTTTAAAGAGTCTGAGTGAGAATCCTCCTCTAGTCTTGACACTTTTTTCACCTCATTGTTTTCAAAAATATCTCTCATCACTTGTTCATTTAGCAACCCCATTTGAGACATCATCTTGGCTATCATGTTGTCTCGTTCTTGGTTTTTTTCTACCTGTTCTTTTGTCAGTCCAAAATTCAACGGAGACACCTGATCTTCTTTAGTGTACCACTTACGATTGATCTTTGTCATTTCATAGAGGAGAGTGGATGCTATAACAAATGGTTGCTGCATGATTCCTTCTCGAGCAAGTTGGTCAGCCACCCTTTTGTTTATTAAATCGAGACTCCGATAGAAGTATTGTAGCAACACGTTGCTCGGGAGTCCATGAGTTGGGCACTTGAGCAACAACTTCGGAAACCTCAACCACATTTCATGAATCGGTTCCCCATTTACCCATTTAAAGTTCTAATATGATCCCTTAGCTTCATCATCCTTTAGGGAGGGAAAAACTTGACATAGAATAGATCGGTGAGTTCTTCTCACGAAGTGATTGATTCTCTTGGTAACTCAGCCAACCATTTTGTTGCCTCCCCTATTAGAGAGAAAGGGAACAACCGAAGTCTGACCGACTCTAGTGTGATATTCTTGAAGACAAATGGACCACACACGTCCACGGAGTTTTAGATATGCTCATAAGGATCCTCATGAGCTAACCCTTCAAACGAACTTTTCATTTGCAATAGCTGCAACATCGTGCTAGTCACATGGAAAACTGTGTTTCCCACGACCGGAGGTAAATGAATAACACCTACACCACCCAATTGAGCTTCATTCACATCATTCAAGTTACCAATGTAATCTTGATGTCCAAGTTGGCTAGCGTTCACACTCATCTCGTCGCCTATTCACAAGCAGCCAACAACAAACACAAAACAAAGTAAGTCGATTCAACTACAAACAAGATTAGATCACAACTAGACTTCACTAAAAGAATTCTAAACACCACTCCTCGGTAGCGGCGCCATTTTTGATAACGCTCAACTATACTTCATCCAATTCTAAGTGTAGGCGATCACAATCTAGTATAAACCCAATGAAGAGTTGGGGTCGATCCCTGGAGTGATACAGTAAAGAATTCAATTAGGAAGTGAAATGAATGTTCTAATCGATTGTAGGAATATACTTTATCAAAACAATTAAAGTAAATTGCAGGGGTTGACAACTAATGTCAAATGAGGGATTTGATTTGTCAACTAACAGCTAGGAAAACAGGGAAGTGTTTAAGAAAAGAGGGATCATTGGGGATGTGATCGATTAATTTCCAATTTCGCTATACGCGTGATTACTAATTACCGAAAGTTGCTGAATCTTAGTGGGTAGGCTAGACTTTAGATGCAATAGCCATCTCTCGATCAACTATCACGATTCAAGCGAGTTCTTTCGAACCTCGACAAGTATACAATTAAGAACAACCCAAAACCTCAATTTACCTACTCTCTCGAGCTAGATAGGTAGGATTGAATTAAGACTCACTCTCTTGAGCTGAATCCCCAATAACCTAATCACTACAACTATCAATTGATAACCTTAATTATATAACCTCTTTCTCAAGCAAACATAGAATACTAGACCTTAGCTACATGGGTAACTACAATTCATGCATTGAAACTCAGTTATCAATTGAACTCACTTCAAAACAGCAATTAAATCAATAATTACTAACACTCGTACACTAATTGAGGAAATTAATCACATAATCACACCCCCAAGAATTGGAGTTTTAGCCACGCATTATAAAGAGCAGAAAAACATTACCAACTATATTTTCCATAAGATGGGTAGCGAAATTCGAGTCTTCACAATTCTTCAAATTCACCTTAAAATCAAAACCCAACTTCAAACTTTTCTCAAAAACTCAAAAACTAGTGTTTGGAAAAAAAACCAAAGTCTAACAATGTCAGGGTACTAATTTCTCTTTTTGAAAATCAATTTATACGTTCCCAGATTATAGCCTTCAGGGCCATTCGACGGTATAAGTCGAGCGTCACCGACCAGGTTGGCGACGTGCCAAATGCTCCTCTCCATCGCCTTTTTAGCTTGAGTCTTCACCCTTTTTTGTGCTGTGATCTTAGGCGATTAAGGTCGGGCTCGCTGACCTGATTGGCGATGCGCTAATTGTCCTTTCACATCTCCATTTTTGCTTGCATCTTCACTAATTATTCTGTTACTTTAGGCGGGCTGAGATTCCTTCATCGAAGGGTACGTTCCACTACTGAGTTGTCTTTGTCCAAGGGCTAGAACGTTGTAACTTTAGGCGAGCTGAAGGACCACTTGGTGAGTCACCGAGTGGCCTTGTCGATCTTCAGCCTTGTTTCTTCAATTAGAAAATACTCTGTTTTACCCGGTATTGTCCTTGTCTTGCTCTTTTCTTTTCCTAGTTGCAAATCAACACATAAGCATCAGTTTAGAGCACAAAATAGGCAATGAGGACACTAAAACTATAATTATCAAGCTCTAAATGAGTCAAAATCCCAGACTCATCAATGTCCATTTCGATCACAATGCACACATAGCAAATTATCAGCACCATAAATATAGTTGCTGTGAGGATTGTATGGGGGGTCTATCTTCTCACCACCTAACTCTCCTCTACTGTTGTTACCTGACTAATTAAATTTATAAGCATTTTAGAGGAAGTGGTCCATTTTAGGGATTTGTTCAGTTCCTCTTTTACACGAACTAGGTCCTTCTTCAACACAAGATTTCTTTCTAAAGCCAATAACATCTTCATTTCAGTAGTGCACAACTTATTTTCAAGCTCAAGCTGCAAGCAGTTGGTCTCGTTCTTTCCTTTAGAAACCGTTGTAGTCATCCTTTTTTATCTTTTCCTTCAGTTCTATATTTTCAGCTTCTAGAAAAACCATTTGTTTTTCAATATTAGATATTTGAGTAACTAGAGCAATTTTTCCATCTTGAGAGATGTCTAGGCTATTGTCCAAGAGATCATTCTCAATGGTTAGTTCACTGATCAAATCAATTAGTACAACAACTAGCTTTCTCAATTTACTATTGGAAAATGTATTCAAGTTTTGCTTGAAGTCAGATAAGGTTACCTCTTCATTATCATCTTCATCATCTGACTTTGCCAGGAAAGCAAACATAGAGTCAAAAATTTCTTCATCATCTTTTACTTCGAGCATAAAAGCACCATCAGGGTGTTCAGATTCGTCTGAATCACTTAAGGAATTTCCCAAGACAGCCAGCGCTTTCTTTATCACACAATCAACAACTATTGTTCTTCTACTTGACCTGTCAGCGACCTGGTCCCTTCTTTTATCCTTGTCTCTTCCTTTTAGAGCATCAATCATATATACATTTCCAGGCTATTCAAATTCATTTGAGTTACTTGAGGTATTTTCTCAAATATCTAGGGTTATCTTTCCTTTAGATTCAGCCGCTACACTTCCTCCCGATCTGTTAGTAATCGAATCCCACCTTTTATTTATACATATGAGAACGAGACCGTCCTTTCTTCTGTGCATCTCATAAACTTTAAGATGTTCAAATAGATCATCCAACGTCAGTACTTCAGGATCCCGTGTCTCTTAGACAATGTCAACTTCATCCGTTCAAGATTTGAGAAGAATTTCCAGTATCCTAGTGACCTGCTTGCACGCAGAGACAAGTTCTTCTAGGAACATAAGATCATTTATAATGGTGGAGAATCTAGTATGCATTTCATGAATAGATTCACCTTCTTTTATGGTGAAGCTTTCGAACCGAGTAGTGAATAGATCTAACTTAGATTTCTTTGTTTGCTCAGTACCTTCACACACTATTCTCAATCGATCCCATATTTCCTTGGATAATTCACAAGACAAAATTAGATCATATTCATTTGCTCCAATGCCACACATTAATAGCTTCCTGACTTTGTGAATTTTCTCAACCTTCATTTTGTCGGAGTTATTATATTGCTGTCGAGTTTTGGGAACGACCCGTGTGACATCCCCATCTTTTACTTCTATAGTTGGCGCATAGGGACCTTCACAAATAACATCCTATAGCTCAATGTACTCAGCCATGAGATAGTCATACATGGGAATATTTCACCATCTATAGAACTGACCATAAACAAGAGGTGGCCTTATAGGAGACTGACCTTTTTGTAAGTTTAGTAGAGTCGCCATTCTTCGCATGAATCTCTCTCTTGGTGTTTACCAGATAGAGAGCCTAGACTTTGATACCAATTATTGGAATGTATGCGTCTACCAATGATCACTGGACCAGGTCCCAGATAGAATAATAGTGTGAAAAATAAATAGCTCAAAGTAGATTAGACACAAAGATTTTACATGGAAATCCCCTTGCTCAAGGGAGGTGAAAACCATAACCTGTACTCACAGGATTTCAATCCAAACTCTATTTCACTCAAACGGAGGAAAGTTTCAGATTACAAACTCTTGCAACCTAGGAATTAAAACTCTTTAATCCCTTCCCCCTTACTGTAGCAACTCTACTACAAAGAAAACTAAGCAATAACTCTATTGCACACTAAACCAACTAACTCTAGTTGATCTAGACTTTAAGAACCCAACAAGGCTAACTCTAGACACCAACTCAAATCTCAAAGATAAGAACTAAACAAGCAGCAACTATGCTACACCCACATATCAACTAACTCTAGTTGACACTCCTAGGAAACTCTACCTAAGAGAACATTAAAATAATGATGTAAAAAGGCTTGACTAAAACAAGATGACTCGGCCAACTAACTCTAGTTAATAG